GCTGTTACTGACGGAACGAATGCAGACCGTGTGAAAGGTCATCATTTTATCTGCCATTAAGTAAGCGAACGCTTCGGCTCGGATCAGAGGTAACTTTGTTTCAAGAACTGCAATCTTTTGCAGACGTCTGTGGCGTTTTGGGCAGAGGGACGGTTCTAAACCAATCTGAACCAGAGGCAATTTCGCAGCCAGCCGTCGGTGGTTTCCCGTCCCAGGAATGTAAGGTGCTTGCAGCGGGAGGTTGTTTCGTTAGCGCTTCCGCTTTCGTCAGTGAAGTTCTTTTGCGGAACGTTTGTAGATCCCGTCGTCTTCTTCAAGCTATGTCGTTTGAGCACTGTGCTGATAGGCTGACGTGAGAAAACAGGACACAAAACGTACAAGGCAAGAGTGCAAAGCACGGAGCTCTAGGCTAAGGCGGTCCGAACCGCAGCAAAGCAGGAGGTCGACATGTCCAAATAGACCAAATCAGAAACTAAGCAGAGAAAAACGGCATCTGTAGAGAAAGAAAACAGATGGAGGAAAAGAAAGAAAGAACAGGAGGATCCCCTCCCCTCCCCCCATAGCGGGTCTGTTATCCCCAGATCGAGTGCGTCCGGTGGAATCCATGTGTTGGCAGCCCCAACTGATGACAAAACCCAAAGCAAGCATCTGGAGGAAGCTCAAACTCTTCATGCGTTGCCACAGTTACTAGCGAGTGGTTTGCAGGCACAGGCACGTCTGCTGCAAGTACAGCGCCGTCAGGAGACAGGGGTTGCTGGCCCATTCCCCATGCTCGGTGGCTGGGCATCACCGCCCTGGAGTACGGCCGATAGAAAACGGCGGCTGCCATTTGCGCCGCCCGGCAACTCATACTTACCTGGCAGGGGAGATACCATGATCAAGAAGGTGGTTCACCCAGGGCGAGGCTTGGCCATTGCACTCCGGCCACGCTGACCCCTGCGAATTCCCCAAATGTGGGAATCTCGACTGCATAATTTCTGGTAGTGGGGGACTGCGTTCGCGCTCTCCCCTGAGCACAGTGGTTCAAGACAGAGTTCAGGCGGTAGCGTCGGACCCGGCTGGAGCCAAGTGGTGCTCGCTGCAGAGCCATTTGAGGAGAGCTGAGCTCCAGCGAGGGGGAGCTTAAGCTTGAGCTCCACCTTTTTTGCACTTCTTCTACGAGTGATGTCACTGGGGGTAGGGTTAGGGGCGGGGTTGGTGTACGCATTAAAACAGCTTACAGGAGGAGGAGCGACAGCTCATGCTCCCCCTCGCTGGAGCTCAGCTCTCCTCAAATGGCTCTGCAGCGAGCACCCTCTCGCTGGAGCGGCGCTTCCCTCTCTTCCTCGTCCTTTGCCAAGCCTCTTTTGCTCCAGTAGAGCCGCGCGCGCGCCTGTGGAAGGCCTGCCCACCCGTCGCTAGAAGAGCCTGTTCTGACGCCGAAAGCTACTCGAAAGGTCCCCCCTCAAAGCGGTTTGACCAGGTGAAGGAACACGCAAAGAGAGCCCCCGGTGGCTTTTGTCCGCCAAGCGAGTGTGCCCTGTGGAATGTCAGAATTGTATTTTTACCGGCCTGCCGCTGTTACTGACGGAACGAATGCAGACCGTGTGAAAGGTCATCATTTTATCTGCCATTAAGTAAGCGAACGCTTCGGCTCGGATCAGAGGTAACTTTGTTTCAAGAACTGCAATCTTTTGCAGACGTCTGTGGCGTTTTGGGCAGAGGGACGGTTCTAAACCAATCTGAACCAGAGGCAATTTCGCAGCCAGCCGTCGGTGGTTTCCCGTCCCAGGAATGTAAGGTGCTTGCAGCGGGAGGTTGTTTCGTTAGCGCTTCCGCTTTCGTCAGTGAAGTTCTTTTGCGGAACGTTTGTAGATCCCGTCGTCTTCTTCAAGCTATGTCGTTTGAGCACTGTGCTGATAGGCTGACGTGAGAAAACAGGACACAAAACGTACAAGGCAAGAGTGCAAAGCACGGAGCTCTAGGCTAAGGCGGTCCGAACCGCAGCAAAGCAGGAGGTCGACATGTCCAAATAGACCAAATCAGAAACTAAGCAGAGAAAAACGGCATCTGTAGAGAAAGAAAACAGATGGAGGAAAAGAAAGAAAGAACAGGAGGATCCCCTCCCCTCCCCCCATAGCGGGTCTGTTATCCCCAGATCGAGTGCGTCCGGTGGAATCCATGTGTTGGCAGCCCCAACTGATGACAAAACCCAAAGCAAGCATCTGGAGGAAGCTCAAACTCTTCATGCGTTGCCACAGTTACTAGCGAGTGGTTTGCAGGCACAGGCACGTCTGCTGCAAGTACAGCGCCGTCAGGAGACAGGGGTTGCTGGCCCATTCCCCATGCTCGGTGGCTGGGCATCACCGCCCTGGAGTACGGCCGATAGAAAACGGCGGCTGCCATTTGCGCCGCCCGGCAACTCATACTTACCTGGCAGGGGAGATACCATGATCAAGAAGGTGGTTCACCCAGGGCGAGGCTTGGCCATTGCACTCCGGCCACGCTGACCCCTGCGAACGGCGGTGGGACGTATGGTACACTGTTAAAAATTGTCCCGTTAAAAAACAGTAAAATACTGGCAGCTGCAGTTGCCAGCAATGTACTGTTATTTTACAGTATGTTGCTGTAAAAATACATGGACTACATTGATTTACACAATACTCAAGTGAACTCATTTTGCTCACTGAAAGCAACTGCCTCAACTTGGTCAACTGCTGAATGAGTTTATGAAGTAATGTGCTATATATGCTTAGAAGCATACTTATAATGATAACTTATTTTAGTTAATTAGAAAAGTTCGGTTTAACTCTAATGTCTTATTTTTCACAACAGCACACATACATGTAAATCTGGAATCACCAGAGAGATTCTGACTGCATCAGCAACTAAACAGCCGCTATCTTTAAATAGAGAAACATGCAGAATAACATCAGCAGTTCATTGTTCATCTTTAACTCATACACTGGCTCTACTCTCCTCCACAACGGTGACAGACAGAAGAAATTAGCTTCAGGTTTTACAGTAAAATACTGTTTTTTCCTTGATTTAACAGTAATCTACTGGCAGCTGTGGTTGCCAGCAATCTACTGTTTTTTTACAGTCGATTTCCGTAGTTTAAATTAACAGTATATTACTGTTAAAATACATTTTACACTGTGTTTTTACCTCTCACACCTTTAACCCTTTAAACCCCAGAGCATATACTTCAGTTTTAATTGAAGTTTCCACACTACTGAGTGTTCAAGAAACATGGAGCAAAGCTGAAGTGAATTAATTAATTAACTTACTAATTAAATGATAATTGAGGATTAACAATGAATAAATGAAGAAATACTGAAGGAAAAAAACAAGAACAGAACATACAAAACTTTAGTCACAGCTTTATAATGAAATAACCTGAAGAACAACAAATGATTAAATCATTGAAATGATCAGCGGATGATTAAACAACTCTACAAACATCATCACCAGCTACACTTATTACTTAATACATGTATTTTTGTATAACATCTACTAAAGTTCTTCTTGAGAAAAACTGAAAGTTTTACGTCACCATCATGGAGAACAGAGTTTACTTTAGTTGGGCTCTTAGCCCTGTCATTTTTAACATTTATATATCTTGGCTGCTGCAATTTTTAAAAACTTTGTTTAAAAAGCTCCTTTGTTGTGGCAAGCCAGCCAAAAACCTAAATTAGATCTGGTGATGTTCATGTTGCTATTAAATGGCAGAGTCTGTTCTCATTTAGTATAATGAAATTTACTGCTCCTATTCAATGTTAAATCTATAGTTTACATTATATGTCTATATATGGCAATGATTTCTGGAAGTTTTTAAGAATATCTTGGACAATAACACTGCTCTATGGTGTAAATCGCACTCAAACAGACATCAATAATCAGCATATGAACCTCAATAATGGTGACAACTAACAAAATTAACAGTTTAACTCACAAACAGGCAACTGAAAGTCTAAACATAAACAACAGCAGAATCAAACACAAATAAAGAAAACCGTTAGACCATTATACAACATTTATTTATACCGCAATGCATGCTGGGATATTTGTACAGTGCCACTCCCAGCATGCACTGCAGCATGAAACATTTGAGATGTTACCATTGTTGAGATACAAGGTCAGATTCATGAGGTCTGAGTGTGCAGTTGTCATAACTGAACTGTTTTTGTATGTTATTTCTTAACTGTTAAGTAATTACAGAGGTATCTTTTCTGTTTCCACTTCTCATTAATTAAATTAATACCTGCAGCTAAGCATAAAATTTATTGCATGAGGCCCTTCTTCCAGATTTATACCAAAACATTTATTAGAACTAATTTCAGACAAATAGATTTCTCTATTTATTGACTTCCCAACTTTAATGCTGTAGTACAAACGTTTTGTAAACTCTGTATTACAGCAGTTTAAAAGTCTTCTTAAATGAGTACAAGGGTGAAGAGCCCAACTAAATCAGCCCCTCACTCCATTACGGTGACACAAAAACCACCTTAATTTCTGTTGGATCTCAATGAGAATAGTATGGAAGTTAAATCAGTCAGTAATAAGTGTGTGTCTGCTGTTGTTTGTGGAGTTGTTTAATGATCCTCTGCTGAGACTGAAGCTGTTTTATTTTATTTGATTTTATTTAATGTTGTAACTCAAGTCACTGTTTGTGTTTCTTGTTTATTTTCTTCAGTAATTGTAATTATTAACAGCAGGTGTTCATCAGTGTCTGAATTCACTCATTAGTGTTCATTAAAACTGTCAGGTGAACTATATTAGTTAACTAGTGTATGAAATAGTGAACAAGGGCACAAAGCGTGATTTCAAACACAGACTTCAAAACATCGAATCTGAACTCTGTTAGCTCACAGTTTTCTGCAGTTGGTTACTTTCTCGAAAACAAAAATGTTACCCAGAAAGCACTGTTTTTAACAGAATATTACTGTTTTAGTGAAAAAACATTATTTTACTGTAGAATCTGACCGTTTTTTAACAGCAATTTTTTACAGTGTAAATGAACAGTGACAAAACCTGTCATTCTACTCTATATGTTTTTGTTAACCACTCAAGTGTCATGCAGGTGTTGGAACAACATAATTGTAAGTTAATGAAAAAAATATATAAATTTTTAACAATGTTCTATATTGCTGTATTTACCTTTTTAGTAGAGTCCATTTTCAGCACTGTGCCAAAAGTGGACAGAATCTGGCTTCTGTAGTCCTGCACATTTTCGGCCTCAGCGAGAAGGAAGGCGTGGCGAAGCAGGTGAGCAGAAGGCATCTCTCTTTGAGGAGGTGGAGCCTCAAACTGGTGTCTAAAGGCTGACACAATCGCTCCGGGTTTTACCAGGGTCATCAGGAGGGTTGTGTACAGGTCCTTTCTGTGGAGATAATCCTCCACGTGGTTTTCCTGAACCTGCCGCCACACTTTTATCATTGTGTTCCCTTCGGTGCGATCCCGCAGAAGCCGGATCACACTCTTGTCTACACCACGCCTATAAAGTGTGATAATCAGTGTGTGATAAAACAGATGCTATTGTGGTAAATGTTAAATATATGCCACCTGTCAGTTTACTTACCTGTGTGTTAAAATCGCAGGGAACATGGCTTGGTGAGCCTCACTGAGCTGACAAAGGATTTCAGGATGCCATGCCAACCAACGACCCACCTTGGCACCAGCACCTTTTCTGCCTTCCTTTGTGCATGGCCCACAGCACAGGACCTCAGTCAGCATCGTGTACCAGTTGGCTACATCACAGATGTAACGAACCTGTAACATGATAAACCATTGTGTAATTTGAACTGTGTATGAATTTACATTTGTTGAAAATTGTCATTTAAAAAAGTACAATATGTTGCACTAATTGCAACTAAATATGATGCAGTGCACTAATTGCTGTAAAAATCATACAAAATGTAAACAGACAAACCTTGGTGTGGTATCCTGACTTGTAGAGGTGCACCTTGTTTCCACTACCCACACAGTCTTTACCACGGGGACACTTCAGTGAATATCTCCACACCCCAACTGGTCTCCAGACAAAGATGCGGCCCCGAAAGAACAGGTTTGGAGATGGCACAGTCCCGCTGACGTAGCCTGGAGGTTCAGGGGGGTAAAACCACATTCTGTCCGACTTCATTACCCGCCTTCTCTTCAGCACACCTGTACTGTCCTGGTAGACCTGAATGTTGGTGAAGAGCCCTCTTTCTGTGTCATCCTTCACCCACGAGAGGTCAGCTGGTGAAATGCCATTAGGGTTTTCCCACAAGCGCACCCAACCCTCAAGTTCAACCTGCAATACATGTGAACAAAGATTATCTTACTGCTTTAATAACAATTCACTTTTCATTTGTGCACTTAACATGAATATTTACTTACAGAAGAGTCACTCATGGCTGAGGACACTGGCTCCTTGTGTTTGGTGGTGGAGGACGTGGAGGCGGACATGGAAGCAGTGGCAGACATGGCGGTGGCATACTTGGAAGCGGTAGCTGATGTGAAAGTAGATGTTGAAGCCGTAGCAGTGTTGGCAGCCATGGCAAAGGTGAAAACTGTAGCAGTGGCAGCCGTGTAAGAGGTGGAGGCCGTAGCAGTGGTGGCAGCCATGTAAGAGGTGGAGGCCGTAGCAGTGGTGGCAGCCGTAGCAGAGGTGAAAGCCATGGAGGTGGTGGCAGCCAGGGCAGAGGTGAGAGCCATGGAGGTGGTGGCAGCCATGGCAGAGGTAAAGGCCATGGAGGTGGTGGCAGCCATAGCAGAGGTTAAAGCCGTAGCGGTGGTGGAAGCTGTAGCAGAAGTGAAAGCCGTGGCGGTGGTGGCAGCCTTGGCAGAGGTAGAAGCAGATGCTGATGTTGATGTGGTTCTTGATGATGGCACTTTTGACCTTGACCATGAAGGAACATCAGCTGTACATTTTAAATTCTATGTAAAAAAAAAAAAAAAAAAACATTAAAATGTCAATTTAATCCAAAATGTTGTACGTACAAATAAAAATAAGAAGTGACATAACGTTTTATGCTTTGTATTTCATAAGACTTACCTGGTCCTTTTTGTCATATATGTATTTTCTAAACCGCTTCATCTGCACACTGCTGATGTGTGTAACAGGAGTGTGCAGCCAGCGGGTGACAGAGTTATGTGCCCTGAGGATTAGGTCTTTCTGATTGCTGCTAAAATCTTGAGGCCTGTCCATCAAGGCAGCACGCTGGCTGTACAGCTCCCACATCTCCTGAAATGTGTAGTGTTCAAACCCTTTCTGCCCGTAGATGCCACGGTGGACGTTAGCTTCCAGGGTTACTGACAGCTGAGGGAAGCTCTCTGCATATTCTGCCAAGCAGTCCTTTATCCAGCCATTGTGGATCTTTTTGGGTTGCGTGGCCAGTTCCTCCCTGTGCTTATCGATCACACTGCAAACACATTTGAACAATTGCACAGCAAATAAATAGCAAAATAAACTAGACTGAAAACATCTGTATAAATATAGACATTATATATAATATAAAGTTAACTATATTATCTAATTTTAGTAGTTCTTAAATTTATAAAACACAAAATGGCATGTGCTTACAACTTCATGTAGCCCACATCATTTTCTGCCAGCCAGTGGAATGGGGCGTTGGCATACTGGCCAAAAGGTAGCACCAGCTTTCCCAAACACTGCTGCCGTGATGGAGCCAAAGTTCCTTCAGCTCGAAGGAGCCTTTCTGCATGATTAAATGCAGCATGTTCGTTCAGGAGCTGTGCCGGTGGGAGAGCAAAGCTAAGCTTTCTCTCCCTGTACAAACGGGCCTCCTTTGACGCCTGTAAAATGGCTTGCTGACGGTCCAGAGGAGCAGATGGATTTACAATCCGGAGTGTCGGCAATGCCATCTCGGAGGTCTCTGGAAAAAAACACATATATTGGATGGGTTTTAAGCCTTATGAATGATATCATGCAGTCATAAATATATTTAGAAATTTATGCTAACACATTATTAACATTATTAAACATAAATGCATGCTTTAAACAATATAATGCTTGACTTGAATGATATAATGTTGTAATCTCAAGCTAAAAGGCATCAAAGTGAACATGAATGGTTGATTACATCAAAACATGAATGGTTAATTAATGTAAGCACATGTCTTAATGTTTACATAAATATTTAATGGAATAAATGACTACAAGGTGGTATCGCTTTTTTTTAATGCTGTCTGTCATGTTTATAAATGTTTTCAGAGATATAAATGTGCCCATTTATGTGCTGATCGTTGCAGTTAGGATGATTTCACATTATTGCAACATAATAATAATATAATAAAATGATATAATGCTGTAATTACTAGCTAAATGCTATAAAGATTTATTAACATAGACGGAGCTCACATGTTAATGTTTACATAGGTATTTATTACTAAAAATCACAGGGCTGAATAAGCTTTTTAAAAATGCTGCCTATCATGTTTATAAACATTTTTAGTGGTTCAAAGGTGTTTATGTATGTGCTCTCATTAAAGATATGACTATTTCCCATTATAAAAACATTAATAACATTAAACATTTGAATAGAACGTTATAATCACCAGCTAAAGGCCATGAATAGTATATTTAGGTATACTTGTCTTGACTTTTACATGAATATTTACTGTTATATTTGATTTACATAAATGCATACATCGATATCAGCTTTTGTTAAATGTTTTGTCATGTTTACAGTATCAGTGACGATGAATCAAGCGTTTTCATATATTCGTTGTGTTTATAAATATTGTGTTAAACGTAAATTCACTTTTAGACAGCATACAAAAGCATATTGTGTCCGAGACATTGTTGTTTTGTCATTTATGTTTGTTTTTGTCAATCGGGGACATGATGAACGTTACGGTGGAACAGGATAAACAGTACGTCGCACCGAATGTCTAAATACACGTTAAAACACCGGTTTACTGTACATACTGTAACTTGTCACGATCCGAAAATTAATCTTTATCAATCAACAACAATACTGCGTCGCAATAGAACACCAATTGCAAGTTTTTCAAGCTTGATAAACACAATTAGACTGTTTACAACAGCAAAATTAATCTTTATGTCTGCTTAGTCAATGATTTGAGTAGTAAAATCAACAGATGTGGACTCACCTTCAAAGCAACGCCGTTGTATGCTGGTTGTAGGTTATTTAAGCTGAAGAAATCCAGTGTTTATGCATTTACATTTGTTTAAAACAGAAAAAGCAACAAACTAAAGTTTGAATCCTTTGATTGCGGCGAGAAGAGCGAAAGGATGACGCCCCCTTGCAGCGATTGGACGGCTGGATTCACAATCCGCTGTTTTCATTGGTCGCAGACAGTAGACAATATCTACGGTCACCGTACACATTGCACGACTGTAGAAAGAACCTCTGCGAACTCCCCAAATGTGGGTATCTCGACTGCATAATTTCTGGTAGTGGGGGACTGCGTTCGCGCTCTCCCCTGAGCACAGTGGTTCAAGACAGAGCTCAGGCGGTAGTGTCGGACCCGGCTGGAGCCAAGTGGTGCTCGCTGCAGAGCCATTTGAGGAGAGCTGAGCTCCAGCGATGGGGAGCTTAAGCTTGAGCTCCACTTTTTTTGCACTTCTTCTACGAGTGATGTCACTGGGGGTAGGGATAGGGGTGGGGTTGGTGTACGCATTAAAACAGCTTACAGGAGGAGGAGCGACAGCTCATGCTCCCCCTCGCTGGAGCTCAGCTCTCCTCGAATGGCTCTGCAGCGAGCACCCCCTCGCTGGAGCGGCGCTTCCCTCTCTTCCTCGTCCTCTGCCAAGCCTCTTTTGCTCCAGTAGAGCCGCGCGCGCCTGTGGAAGGCCTGCCCACCCGTCGCTAGAAGAGTCTGTTCTGACGCCGAAAACTACTCGAAAGGTCCCCCCTCAAAGCGGTTTGACCAGGTGAAGGAACACGCAAAGAGAGCCCCCGGTGGCTTTTGTCCGCCAAGCGAGTGTGCCCTGTGGAATGTCAGAATTTTATTTTTACCGGCCTGCCGCTGTTACTGACGGAACGAATGCAGACCGTGTGAAAGGTCATCATTTTATCTGCCATTAAGTAAGCGAACGCTTCTGCTCGGATCAGAGGTAACTTTGTTTCAAGAACTGCAATCTTTTGCAGACGTCTGTGGCCTTTTGGGCAGAGGGACGGTTCTAAACCAATCTGAACCAGAGGCAATTTCGCAGCCAGCCGTCGGTGGTTTCCCGTCCCAGGAATGTAAGGTGCTTGCAGCGGGAGGTTGTTTCGTTAGCGCTTCCGCTTTCGTCAGTGAAGTTCTTTTGCGGAACGTTTGTAGATCCCGTTGTCTTCTTCAAGCTATGTCGTTTGAGCACTGTGCTGATAGGCTGACGTGAGAAAACAGGACACAAAACATACAAGGCAAGAGTGCAAAGCACGGAGCTCTAGGCAAAGGCGGTCCGAACCGCAGCAAAGCAGGAGGTCGACATGTCCAAATAGACCAAATCAGAAACTAAGCAGAGAAAAACGGCATCTGTAGAGAAAGAAAACAGATGGAGGAAAAGAAAGAAAGAACAGGAGGATCCCCTCCCCTCCCCCCATAGAGGGTCTGTTATCCCCAGATCGAGTGCGTCCGGTGGAATCCATGTGTTGGCAGCCCCAACTGATGACAAAACACAAAGCAAGCATCTGGAGGAAGCTCAAACTCTTCATGCGTTGCCACAGTTACTAGCGAGTGGTTTGCAGGCACAGGCACGTCTGCTGCAAGTACAGCGCCGTCAGGAGACAGGGGTTGCTGGCCCATTCCCCATGCTCGGTGGCTGGGCATCACCGCCCTGGAGTACGGCCGATAGAAAACGGCGGCTGCCATTTGCGCCGCCCGGCAAGTCATACTTACTTGGCAGGGGAGATACCATGATCAAGAAGGTGGTTCACTCAGGGCAAGGCTTGGCCATTGCACTCCGGCCACGCTGACCCCTGCGAATTCCCCAAATGTGGGAATCTCGACTGCACAGTTTCTGGTAGTGGGGGACTGCGTTCGCGCTCTCCCCTGAGCACAGTGGTTCAAGACAGAGCTCAGGCGGTAGCGTCGGACCCGGCTGGAGCCAAGTGGTGCTCGCTGCAGAGCCATTTGAGGAGAGCTGAGCTCCAGCGAGGGGGAGCTTAAGCTTGAGCTCCACCTTTTTTTTGCACTACTTCTACGAGTGATGTCACTGGGGGTAGGGTTAGGGGTGGGGTTGGTGTACGCATTAAAACAGCTTACAGGAGGAGGAGCGACAGCTCATGCTCCCCCTCGCTGGAGCTCAGCTCTCCTCGAATGGCTCTGCAGCGAGCACCCCCACGCTGGAGTGGCGCTTCCCTCTCTTCCTCGTCCTCTGCCAAGCCTCTTTTGCTCCAGTAGAGCCGCGCGCGCCTGTGGAAGGCCTGCCCACCCGTCGCTAGAAGAGTCTGTTCTGACGCCGAAAACTACTCGAAAGGTCCCCCCTCAAAGCGGTTTGACCAGGTGAAGGAACACGCAAAGAGAGCCCCCGGTGGCTTTTGTCCGCCAAGCGAGTGTGCCCTGTGGAATGTCAGAATTTTATTTTTACCGGCCTGCCGCTGTTACAGACGGAACGAATGCAGACCGTGTGAAAGGTCATCATTTTATCTGCCATTAAGTAAGCGAACGCTTCTGCTCGGATCAGAGGTAACTTTGTTTCAAGAACTGCAATCTTTTGCAGACGTCTGTGGCCTTTTGGGCAGAGGGACGGTTCTAAACCAATCTGAACCAGAGGCAATTTCGCAGCCAGCCGTCGGTGGTTTCCCGTCCCAGGAATGTAAGGTGCTTGCAGCGGGAGGTTGTTTCGTTAGCGCTTCCGCTTTCGTCAGTGAAGTTCTTTTGCGGAACGTTTGTAGATCCCGTCGTCTTCTTCAAGCTATGTCGTTTGAGCACTGTGCTGATAGGCTGACGTGAGAAAACAGGACACAAAACATACAAGGCAAGAGTGCAAAGCACGGAGCTCTAGGCAAAGGCGGTCCGAACCGCAGCAAAGCAGGAGGTCGACATGTCCAAATAGACCAAATCAGAAACTAAGCAGAGAAAAACGGCATCTGTAGAGAAAGAAAACAGATGGAGGAAAAGAAAGAAAGAACAGGAGGATCCCCTCCCCTCCCCCCATAGAGGGTCTGTTATCCCCAGATCGAGTGCGTCCGGTGGAATCCATGTGTTGGCAGCCCCAACTGATGACAAAACACAAAGCAAGCATCTGGAGGAAGCTCAAACTCTTCATGCGTTGCCACAGTTACTAGCGAGTGGTTTGCAGGCACAGGCACGTCTGCTGCAAGTACAGCGCCGTCAGGAGACAGGGGTTGCTGGCCCATTCCCCATGCTCGGTGGCTGGGCATCACCGCCCTGGAGTACGGCCGATAGAAAACGGCGGCTGCCATTTGCGCCGCCCGGCAACTCATACTTACTTGGCAGGGGAGATACCGTGATCAAGAAGGTGGTTCACCCAGGGCGAGGCTTGGCCATTGCACTCCGGCCACGCTGACCCCTGCGAATTCCCCAAATGTGGGAATCTCGACTGCATAATTTCTGGTAGTGGGGGACTGCGTTCGCGCTCTCCCCTGAGCACAGTGGTTCAAGACAGAGCTCAGGCGGTAGCGTCGGACCTGGCTGGAGCCAAGTGGTGCTCGCTGCAGAGCCATTTGAGGAGAGCTGAGCTCCACCTTCTTTTGCACTTCTTCTACGAGTGATGTCACTGGGGGTAGGGTTAGGGGTGGGGTTGGTGTACGCATTAAAACAGCTTACAGGAGGAGGAGCGACAGCTCATGCTCCCCCTCGCTGGAGCTCAGCTCTCCTCGAATGGCTCTGCAGCGAGCACCCCCTCGCTGGAGCGGCGCTTCCCTCTCTTCCTCGTCCTCTGCCAAGCCTCTTTTGCTCCAGTAGAGCCGCGCGCGCCTGTGGAAGGCCTGCCCACCCGTCGCTAGAAGAGTCTGTTCTGACGCCGAAAACTACTCGAAAGGTCCCCCCTCAAAGCGGTTTGACCAGGTGAAGGAACACGCAAAGAGAGCCCCCGGTGGCTTTTGTCCGCCAAGCGAGTGTGCCCTGTGGAATGTCAGAATTTTATTTTTACCGGCCTGCCGCTGTTACTGACGGAACGAATGCAGACCGTGTGAAAGGTCATCATTTTATCTGCCATTAAGTAAGCGAACGCTTCTGCTCGGATCAGAGGTAACTTTGTTTCAAGAACTGCAATCTTTTGCAGACGTCTGTGGCCTTTTGGGCAGAGGGACGGTTCTAAACCAATCTGAACCAGAGGCAATTTCGCAGCCAGCCGTCGGTGGTTTCCCGTCCCAGGAATGTAAGGTGCTTGCAGCGGGAGGTTGTTTCGTTAGCGCTTCCGCTTTCGTCAGTGAAGTTCTTTTGCGGAACGTTTGTAGATCCCGTCGTCTTCTTCAAGCTATGTCGTTTGAGCACTGTGCTGATAGGCTGACGTGAGAAAACAGGACACAAAACATACAAGGCAAGAGTGCAAAGCACGGAGCTCTAGGCAAAGGCGGTCCGAACCGCAGCAAAGCAGGAGGTCGACATGTCCAAATAGACCAAATCAGAAACTAAGCAGAGAAAAACGGCATCTGTAGAGAAAGAAAACAGATGGAGGAAAAGAAAGAAAGAACAGGAGGATCCCCTCCCCTCCCCCCATAGAGGGTCTGTTATCCCCAGATCGAGTGCGTCCGGTGGAATCCATGTGTTGGCAGCCCCAACTGATGACAAAACACAAAGCAAGCATCTGGAGGAAGCTCAAACTCTTCATGCGTTGCCACAGTTACTAGCGAGTGGTTTGCAGGCACAGGCACGTCTGCTGCAAGTACAGCGCCGTCAGGAGACAGGGGTTGCTGGCCCATTCCCCATGCTCGGTGGCTGGGCATCACCGCCCTGGAGTACGGCCGATAGAAAACGGCGGCTGCCATTTGCGCCGCCCGGCAACTCATACTTACTTGGCAGGGGAGATACCGTGATCAAGAAGGTGGTTCACCCAGGGCGAGGCTTGGCCATTGCACTCCGGCCACGCTGACCCCTGCGAATTCCCCAAATGTGGGAATCTCGACTGCATAATTTCTGGTAGTGGGGGACTGCGTTCGCGCTCTCCCCTGAGCACAGTGGTTCAAGACAGAGCTCAGGCGGTAGCGTCGGACCTGGCTGGAGCCAAGTGGTGCTCGCTGCAGAGCCATTTGAGGAGAGCTGAGCTCCACCTTCTTTTGCACTTCTTCTACGAGTGATGTCACTGGGGGTAGGGTTAGGGGTGGGGTTGGTGTACGCATTAAAACAGCTTACAGGAGGAGGAGCGACAGCTCATGCTCCCCCTCGCTGGAGCTCAGCTCTCCTCGAATGGCTCTGCAGCGAGCACCCCCTCGCTGGAGCGGCGCTTCCCTCTCTTCCTCGTCCTCTGCCAAGCCTCTTTTGCTCCAGTAGAGCCGCGCGCGCCTGTGGAAGGCATGCCCACCCGTCGCTAGAAGAGTCTGTTCTGACGCCGAAAACTACTCGAAAGGTCCCCCCTCAAAGC